CTTGAATATCTCCAGAGAAGGAGGCTCCACAACCTCCCTGGGCAGCCTGTTCCAGTGTTCCGTCACCCTCAGAGGGAAGAAGTTCTTCCTCATGTTAAGAGGGAACTTCCTGTGCTTCAGTTTGTGCCCATTGCCGCTTGTCCTGTCGCTGGGCACCACTGAAAAGAGCCTGGCCCCATCTTCCTGGGGTTCTGAACATGAGGAAGAATATCTTCATTCTAGATGATCGCCAGAGGTCCCTTCCAACCCCTACCATTCTGTGACTCTGTGAGGGGCTGAGGTGCGGTGAGGGGTAACCCCAGTGTGTGAGGGGCGTCTGGGTGGGCCCCTTCCCACTCCCAGCATCGTTTTGGTGAAGTGAGAACAACAGAGGCAAGCTCAGATCTCAGGCAGGGAGGGAATTGCAGCTTGTCTGGAGTTTCAGCCTGCCAGTAAGGGATTGTCTCCACGGTAGCTGTTCTCAAGGGAGAACAAGGATGTGCCAGACAAAGGCATGGAAGTGAAGCATGCACACTGAATATCTTAAGTTGCCTTGAAGTTACCTTTGTTTTTACCTGACTTTGTATATTGCATATGATAAAATCTTCCTCACTTGGATTTCTGCAATGACAGAATAGCCAACTGTCCATCACGGAGGCAAGTACTGAAAGTATCAGCGACATGTATACCCTAGGCTACAGAAATTAAACACCGAGCCATCTTGCAAAGCATGCAGAGCTGGCCTGTACTTCTCAATAGTAAAAAGTATCAAGTCACGATCTTAGCTGTGAACGGTTCAGGAATCACTTTGATCCAAACTGTATTCCAGTGGTGTCTAAATGTCAATTCTTGCTTCCTTCTTTCAGTGATGTCTGTTGGATCTTTTTGACCTGTTTTCACTTAGACAGCTCGATGGACTCATTTTCTCTGCTGTCAGAATGCTAAATTGGTTGAGGCAGCACCTCAATGGCATGACCAGAGCTTCCCTGAGGAAATGAGCTGTCTCGCTGTGAGAGTCTTTGCAAAAAGAACAGGCTCAAGTCTTCACAAAGACTGTCCTTAAAGGCCAAACTTTCTACTTTGGAAAGAAAAATAGTTTTATTTAGTATCTTGCAGTTATTTTGGAGATAAATGTAAATGAAATGAAAGTTCCAAAGAGGTTTTTGGCACACTCACTTCTGATTAATCACCATGCTACCATATGCTTGAACCTGTATTTCAAGCCCACACATTCCTACCACTGTCCACATTTAACAGTAAGGCTTAGTGGCTGAAGTAAGCTAGATTTCATCTGTTAATTTCTGAGTATCCAAGCTAGCATCCTCATAGGCTGCTACGCTGTCCTGTGTGAACATCTGCTCTCACTGCTGCTAAGAGGAGGATTTTAGGTTTCCCTTTTATTGTTGTGGAGCCAAAAATGTCCAGATTTTTAATCATATGGATAATCTTCTTTCTTCTTTTGCTTGAGTTGGTTGGATTCTGATAGCAAGTTTGAAGCAAGGTGATGGACGCCAACACGGAGTTTAACTTGCATGCAGCTATTAATCAGTTTGTGCTAACTCAAGTAATTCTATTTGTTAAGTAGTAATTCATATGCTAGGTGATACCCAAACATAAATGTAAGGACGTAACATTGTCACTGATAACAAAATATTTTTAAATCATTTAATGTAACTTAATGTTGTTACTGGTTAATCTTGTTTGGAACCAAGGAAATCTTGCTGACATCTTCAGATGGGCTACTGCTTTCAGATTAGGGGGTGCCATTTAGAGATCATAGTATCATAGAATGCTTTGGGTTGCAGGGGACCTTTAGAGGTCATCTAGCCCAACCCCACTGCAGTGAGCAGGGACACCTTCAACTAGAGCAGGCTGCAGATCACAGAGCCTGAACAACTGGGCATTGCTCGTTCCTAATTATCTCACGTCAGCCTTTTGCTGCTGGAAAAAATGTGTAGTTATTTTCTTGTTTAGAAATCACTGTTGCTTTTGGCTTTCAGATGTATTCTAAAAGAACTGGAATCATTGGGTAAAGCACTGTACGGAGCAAAATTAATTGCGCAGAGATTTCAAGTTCGAAACTGTTCTCACCACAAGCATCCTGTGAGTGGTTCGGCCTGTTTACTTTCCATGATTGAAGAAGGCAACCCTCATCACTTCTTTATCGCCACACAGGTAAATGCTCATGGGAAATGTAGCGCCATTTCATCTGAAGTGATCCTTTAATACCTAAGGATGAGGAAACCTACAGAAACTTCGATAATGAGATTTTAAAATACCTTGTGGGAATTAATCTTGTAAAGCCTTGCTCACTCTTAAATGTATTTGCTAATTATGAAGTAGGGAATCTTTTGTCTTACCTGATCAACTAGGTATTTTTACCTAGAAGGGTATTGCTTAGTTTAGCAGAAAGTGTAGAAAACATACTGACTACCTATTGACATTTAAGAAAACAACTGATGAGTGTGAATCTGCATATTGCTTGTGTGTGAATCCCCTGCCCTGAACTGTTTTGCAGAGTAGTCTGAAAAATGAAATAAGCGTTAAACGACCATATAACTTCAATTTTAAGAAATTTTGGAAGTTCTAACAAAATAACAAAGGTGGAACTCTTGTACAAATAAGAAAGGCATTTTTTGGCTTAGGTCTGTTGTTGGGACTGTATGTGTGAATTATATACACCATATATAAAATGGTTTACAGTAAAATTATGTATGCTTATGTAAGATACAAGGAGTTTAAAATGACTTGTTATAGAGAAATTATCTTACTTCTCGTAAACTGGTGTGCTACATACCAATAAATGAGGATATTTTCCTCAAAAAATGCATGTGTGCTTATGCATGCACGAAAAAAGGAAACGTTAATAAATTTTCCATCAGAGGTACAGCTAATCAGAAGGAGAGAAATTGAAATGTAAATTGGTCTGAAAGGCACTGCCAGGTGTGTCTGCTAGATTAAGTTTCTTATCTTTTTCATAATGTAATTTATCTTCATAGTTTTGTATTAAAAGTAGGTGTATTTGAATTGCAAATACCATTTAATCCCAAAATATTGACTAAAGTATTTAATTTTACAGGACCAGGATTTAGCAAACAAAGTGAAAAAGAAGGTTGGCGTTCCTCTCCTCTTTATTATTCAGAACACTATGGTGCTAGACAAACCTTCTCCTAAATCTCTGGCATTTGTTCAAAAGTTGCAGACAAACGAGCTTGTTCCGGAGCACCAAAAACAAAGTATTGTGCAGCTTAAAGAAAAAGAAGGACTGGCAAAGCAAGAGGGTGAAAAGAGAAGAAAACGTAAAAGGGCAGGCGGCCCCAATCCTCTCAGCTGTCTGAAGAAGAAAAAGAAGAAAACCCAGGAGGGTCAGGAGCCTTCTGCTGAAAAGAAGAAAAGAAGAAAAAGAAAGCGAAATAGGGTTAAAGCAGAAGCCATGCAATCGGTGCAGAAGAGTGAAGAAGAATAAACCCAGCATCTCTGTAAACAGTGCTGGGCTTGAACATTGAACTTTGCAAAAAGAAAGATTAATATACAACCATGTGAAATCAAGTTGTTGATATTAAAACTTATTTTTGTGAAGTGGTACTGCTTATTACTGCATCTCAACATCTGCAGGTTGTTGTCATAATAATTTATTCTGTTTCTTAGTAATTGGGTTTGTGACAAAATATTTAGGAACCCTCATGTTTCATTATTCTCTCCAGCATCTTGATTCCTGCCAAAAAGCTCACATGATCGGGACTGTTTTTTTAGAAATGCTTCTTGGGTTTCATAGGGGTTTTGGTGGGATACCAGAATTCTTTCAAAATCTAGGTTGCTCTGCTTTCTTACTAAAACTAGTTTTGACAGTTGTTCCGTTGCAGAATGTGGAATTGACCTAAAAGAGCATAGTACCTTATTTATCTGTATCATTTGAATACAAAAGTTTAAGTCTTTTGGAAGGTGACCAGATGCTCCCAAGAAATCCCTTCCAGCCTAAATTACGCTATAAACTCCGTGTGAACTGACAGGTCTGTTGTTTGCGATCGTTATTTATTGAGAAGATCCTGGAGGGCGTGTGATTGTGTTGATATTCCTGACATTATAATAGCATCCCTAATGTGTCTAGTTTATCTTTCGTGTATTCTTCCTTTTTAAATAGGAAGAGTGCAACTTGAAAATGCTGTATCAAAACCCTGGCAAACACCTAAAGCCATCACAGCATAGCTCAGCAGTGGAGGAGTCCTCAAATACGGGCAGCTGGCGGTGGTGGGACTGAGACCCCGTGGGCGCTTGTTCCACTGTTCTGTAAGGTTGTGAACAGAATAGAACTGGGTTGAAGGAGGGAGCTGCCACAAACGTTTCAAGTACCTGATTCTCTTTAGCGTTTCTTTTCTGTTCCCTGCACCTTGCGTGTTTGGTGGCATTGGGAGGCAGAAGGGAGTGACTGAGACGACGAGATGCAGGGGTGTGCTGCGCAATACCCGCTGCGGCACAGGTGTGCTGTAACAGTGTTCCCAGTCGTCTCTCACCAGGGCTTTAACTTTTCTTGGTGCATTTCTACTTCACTGACATGCAGTTCTTAAAAGGAAAGCTTTCTGTTTCTTCGCCTGCGTGACTTTAAGCCATCTTTTTTAAAAAATCTTTCAACCTATGCATCATACATTTGCAAAGTAGTTCTCATGGGCATTATCTGCACAAGTTCTTGACTGTCTGCAGTATGTACACAGCTGTAACGTATGATGCTTTCTGTTGGCTTTTCAAATTACACGGACAGTTGTTTCATAGAGTTCGAGAAAACAGCTTGAGCGATGGCAGTTGGACAGTCGAGGCGGAAGCTGCAGGGTCCTTCCCTCGGATCTGCAGAGGTTTCCCTCCAGCCAGCGCAGTTCACTGCTGCTGTAGCCCCGGCACAAACCCGTTCCTTGCAGCACAGCTTTTAGGAGTGGGCTGTGCCTTTGTTGTTCCACGGGACAGACCATGTGCACCTTCGGAACTAGCTGCGAGAGATAGAAGCAAGGTGAAAGCTTTTAACTGAAATTTAAAACCATCATGCCCATCGTGGTATCGTTCCTATGTTGACTGCTAATAGTGAGTCTTGAGGAGAAATTTTATGACTCCTAAAAATTCCTTAATGCAGTGTATTTGCTCAATGTGTATCACCCTCCTCAAGCTGTTGTATTCCCTTCTCCTTCCTTATTTGGGCACGGTGCCATGTTCATGTAGTTTTGCTTTCCCTTCCCCCTGAAAGCCTGCTTGTGTTTCCTCCCCCTGCCCAAACCCACCTGCAGAAGGCAGTCTTGTAAGTAAAGCTTGAAGCGGACAACAGAGATAGTTCATCTTCAAAATCTCATTCTGAGTCAAAAGTATAAAATCCAGTAACTTCAAAAATAATATTTGTAGTAAAAATTGAGCACCCTAATCATTTACAATAGTCCCTTTCAGTGCTGTTGAAACACAAAGCTTAAATATATATTTTTCTAAAAACTATAGACAGACAAAAACATAATTACATAATTACTGCAAAAAATAATATTTTTGCAGTCCTCTAATGACTCCCACCTTAAGGAGTTTAAAACAATATTTGTCTGTATTTCCTTAGTGTTTTGTTAACATAAGCTGAGTCACAGTGTTGTCATTGGGAAGAACTGGAATGAAAAGGGAGTGAGCTCTTCAGAGAAAAGCTGTAAAATTTGCCTGCAGCATAGCTGCAGCTCTCCTCCGGCGAGGTAAATAACTCGCCTTTCAGTTTTGGAAGAGTGCTCCTGCCCAGGCAACAAGCAGAGGCAATTGGACCGTGTGTTGTTACCATTTTGAAATTTGGAAAAAAAAAAACCCCAAAGAGCCTGCTGGGGTTCTACGGAGGGTTAGCTGGCCCAGGCTCCACACCGTGCCAGGGTCCCTCTCGGAATCCAGCAGCGTGAGTCGCTGGGAGCATCCCTCGGCGTGGTGTAGAACACCGCTGCGGGCGTACCGGCAGAGCTAACGCTGCTGCTGGAGGTGTTCAGCTCCACGCGCTGCCCACAGCTGTGGTGGCCAGTCCCGCTCACTTGTTTATCAATAAATGGCCCGCAGACCTGGCCATGTCTCTGGTATAGACAGGGTTCCCAGCGTGACTTTTTCTAATAAAGTTTAGGATCGTTACGCTGTAGCGTGTCGGAGGGACTGCTTTTGGCTTTGAAACTACAGAAAGCCAGAGGTAAATTAAAAGGAGCTTGAGAGAAAACGTCTTTGGTGCCATTGATTTCCTCTGTTCTCAGACAGGATCAATGTACACCCTGAATCCAATGCAGTACCTCGCTAAATCTGGTTTTAAGAAAGAGGGAAATAAGCAGTGCTGTACAGTACAATGTATGCTACATGTGCAGAGTAATAGAAGAAGAAAACAATAATGCTTCAGCCACAGTCTGCGGGGCATTAATGCTGAATTAGGACAGAGTCTCATCTACCGGCAGCAGAAGATATTTACCCAGACTGCCTGCCAATTCAATTGGCTGGATTTATACGTTGCTGTGATCCGGTGTTGAACAGTAAATCACTCCCTGAGCATCTGTTAACGACAGTAAATAGATGAGTTAATTAGAAGCTTCTGGAACCTGGGATGTTTATAAATCATTAAAGTAAATATGAATATGGTATAACCTGAAGAATAAATACATTCTGGCGGTGAAAGGAAAATAGGATGTCCAGAGCAGTCTTGCTCATTTGTTTTCAGCTGCACTGATACGGTGTGAATGACTTCTCCATTAGCTTTGCAGTGTTCTTGGAGTTTCTTGAACATGTTCTGTCAGATACAAGGTGAAGAACGTCGGAACAATACCATTATTTATACTCCTTGCATCTTTCATGTAGAAGTTTCACAAGCAGCTACTGTATATTTCATACCTCTGTGTGGGCGTAATATCTCACACAGGGAGCAGCCAGAGATACAGAGAATGAACAAATAAGAGCCCCAGCAGGTGTTATAATTTACAATTTCCAGGAAAAACATTGCAGTGTACCGAGAGAGAATGACAGAAAGCAAAAGTTTTCGTACCCAGAGAGTCAGGAGTGAGAGACTGCACCTTGTGATTTAGGAATGGCTTAGCTAATGCCAGGAGAGGAGGCTGTGATGTATTTCTGGTAATTATTATGTCTGTGCACTCTGAGCCCCAAATTTGTCTCCGAGAGCTCATCTGTCTGCCCATGGAGGCAGTCATTTTGCAAAAGTTGCTTCGACTTGTTACAGAAGAGACAAGCTGGGCTCTCTCGGGGGGTCTTCATTTTCTGATTTCCTCTCCTACAGTGGAGAGGGAGAGCATGCAGCTGCGCTCTGTGTGTGGATACAGGGAAACCAGGAAGCTGTTAACAAGAGTCCAGTTAAAAACAACACAGAGCTGAGAGCTGGGAGGAAGCAAAGAGACAGTACATTAGTCACTGGGATTTAAAAGAAACCAAGGAAGAGAGAAAAATATATGTGAGGGTTTCTGGGTGTTAACTGGAGGAAAGAATTGGTCAGTAGTGGAAGATGAACCAGAAATGGCTTAGCTGTCAAGGAGAGTAGGGAACAGGGTAATAAACCATAAACAAATTTAAAAAAAGTCTTTCTAATTCCCTTAAGAAAACTTCATTGCCCTTTCTGACTCAGTTTCTGCCTCCTAAAACAGGGAGCTGGGCTGAGTAACCCGCTCACAGATCCTGCGTCGATAGCCCGAGACTTCCCGCAGAATGTAGGTCTCGTGATGCCAAACACTCCTCGACTTCACGGTTTTTCAATATTACACACTTCGCAGCACTGGCAAGTTTGCAGCCAAATCCTTCTTCTGTAGAGCTCGCTGACATTGTGCATGGCTCGCTGCCTAGCACGCAGATATTACATCCAGGAGCAACCTTACTCATGCCATTATTGATAGGGTGAATCCATGTAGTTAATTGCTCGTGAAGGTGCTCGCAGCAAGAGCCTGGGATAGACTGAGGCTCTTCTGGCTGTGGAAATCACGACCCAAAGCACAGCATGGGGTTTTTTTAAAGTCTAATCTCCTTCCAGGAACTCAGCAGGGGACTTCAAAGTTTCTTGTTGCAGTCTTGACTTCTGGTTGACCCAGAATGATCTTTTTGCCATGTTCATTCCCCTGGGGCCAAGGATGCTACTGATTTGACTCTTCAGAGCGGTTAGTCTTTCGGACTGTCTTGGAGAAACACCGAGGAAATTTTTCACGTTGTGAATTGGCACCCGTTTTGACAGGCAGGTTTTCAGAAAAAATGAAGAGAGCAGTTTTCTAGAATTCCTGGCTCCCTCTTTCCACCCCAACCTCTCTGTCAGCTCCCAAGAATACAAGTAGGGCTGTTCCGGGATGGTCCAAGAATCTGTCTAGCCCAGCATCACGCCTCCAATAGTGGCTGAAAGCTGTTCCTCAGGAATAGGAAGAAAATAGACAGAACAGTTTTTTGGTACTTCCCCAGATTACTTTCCAACTTTCTGACAATTTCTTAGGGAGTTCCTGAACCAGGAAAAATATTTTGTTTTTAACAGCACGCAATGAATTTGTGTTTCACTTATTTTGTCCAGTCTTTCCTTGAGACCGTGTAAATTTGCTGTGGTAAGGAGCTGCACAACCT